TGCTTCCACTACTTAGCAACTGTAGGTCTTTGGGAAAGTTCAAGTCTTTGAGCTTCCATTTCCTCCTATTTAAAACTGGGCTCATCATATTTTCTGAAGAGCTAATCTCTACTGACTGCTGACTATGTGGCAGGCATAAGCTCCTGCACTCTCATTCCCATGTTCATTCAATCCTTCCTTATCCTGCTCCTTCCTTAGGTCTCTACCCCAACTGCTTTCTTCACTAAGATCTTAGGAAAACATCTGTAGTTATAGTCTTCCCAGTGAAGCCCCTTTAAAAAAATTAAAATGGGTGCCAGCAGATGGCATAGCAGTTAAGTCATTCAACTTCCACATGGTTGACTGCAGTTCAAGTCCCAGACCCAGAGGCTTGAAACTCATGCTGGGCATGTATGTGTGCATGCCCAAAATCCTGGGAGGAGAGTGGAGAAGGGATTGTGGTATTCCGTCTCCCCAGGGGGGTTATTTCTCTCTCTCTCTCTCCAGCAAGTGCATGTACCCTAAGGCAAAAACCTCTAAAAAACAAAAGAAGTCCAAATGAACACATTGTAAGTGGGAGAGGGAATGAAGCCATATCAAGCAGTGGTTGTGTCCTTAATGATTTTTCAGAACAAAGAATGTTTGGGAAGGTAATATTACATAGAAATGATCGTGATTGGGCGATAGAATATTAATTCTGACTCTAGAAAATCAGTTCAGTAACTTTCTCCTGCAACATATAAGAGCTTATTTCCTTAAAAGAAAACCAGGCAATAAAAGCCATTTTTTTCTAGGAAGCAATTCGGCCTGTTACAGTGACCAAATTATTCTTTTGTACATTTTATCTATCAGATTCAGTAAGTACATCCCTTATAATGTACAATTGGTTTGACAATATTACTTATACAATAAAAAAGAAAACTATTACTCTGCATTTCTGGCTTCTTTCATAAGAAAAACATCATTACCTTTCCGACTGTGTTCTGAACAACAAACACAGATCCTTCAGGAAGAAACTTATCCCTGTGGGGATTGAGAAAGGATCAGAGTTAAGCACAGAAACAAGCAATTAATTCCCATTAGAGGATTAAGGTCCTCGTGTTCACTTTGAATCAGAAAAGCAAATTCTGACTAAAATGGTGTACAGCCAAGAGGTTACTTGTCAAAGTTAATAAGGTGGAGAATTGCGGAGCGACCCAGAATGCACACCAGCAGCTGAGCAGCCATGGGACACAGCAGCAAACAGAAGGCAGGATCGGGTATCCATGGGACAAGGTGCCTCTTCTCTTCCAGACACTGTGGACATGTTAGGGAGAGCCCGGTTGTGCCAGCGGGTGCTGTCCTAACTCTACGAGAAGTAGTCTGTGAAAAGAAGGCTGCAAGCATGCTCCAGCCATTACGTCACCATCCCCCATGTGTGGCTTTCCTTATAGCATTCTTCATTTAAAAAAAAAATTTGTTACAGGGCACATGCACTTGCTGGAGAGACAAAGAGATGGAACGTGAGAAATCACCTCCCAGGGGGATGATGGCCTTGCCACAATCCCTCCTCACCAATTCTCCTCTGGGGATTTTGGGCATGCACACGCACAAACACACACACACACACACACACACACACACACACACACACATATACACGTGCCTGGCATGTGTTTCAAGCCTCCGGGTCTGGGACTCAAACCGCAGTGGGCCATGTGGGAGTCCAGCAACATAACCATTACGCCATCTACTGGTCCCTTTTTTTTTGAGATTTTTTTTTTATAGGGTATGTGTGCTCACTGGAGAGACAAAGAGAAAGTGAGAAATCACACCCTCCTCCCCTGAGGGGGATGGCCATGCCACAATCCCTTCTCCTCCATTCTCCTCTTGGGATCTTGGGCACGCACACACATGGTGTTCTGTGTGAGTTTTAAACCATTGGGTCTACACCTCTAACCACGGTCAGTCATGTGGGAGTCCAGCACATTCATCACTATACCACCTGCTGGCCTTTCTTATAGCGTTTTATTAACACAGACTCAATGACACACACATGAAATACTGATGTTTAGTCTGGAGACTGTCACTTCTGCATTCTAGAGCCAATTCTAAGTAAGCATACGCAACACCTCTGTATGACAGGCGGGAGGCCTGTGTCAGGACTTGAGCACCCTCTGTGCAGGAACCCAAGGGCCCAAAGCCAAATCTTTGTCCTAAATCCAACTAGCTGGGAATACTGTGCCCATCGGGGGTCAACGCAGAGGTGGAACAGGTTCAGACAGTCTCTCCAAAAGTCTGAGCTCAGCAAAATCTGGTTAGTTTAACACTGCCATTATTGAAGAAAACTAAACACTCATGAAGTGCTGTCCATCTGGTCTGGCGCGGCCCGAGACGCCTGTCACTTACTCAGCAGTTTTCTTTCTTGAAACACAGTCTGTCTATAGTTTCATATTTCATCACTGAAGCAGAAAAGGAAAGTGATGACGAGTCCTTTGCATAATTGCTGGCTTTTTCCTTAGCCACCTGGTGGCAAGAGTGTAAAAGGCAGGCTTCGACTTAGGAGTGGATGATGGCGGTCTACAAGTTGCAACTATTGCACAAGCTTCATCCATGCTCCCAAACGCACGTGCCCTCACCCGCGAACCCAAGGAAAGAGCTCACGCTGAACTCCTCCAACTAACTTACAAAGGGGTTTGAAATGGACATCGGCCTCTGACGTAAAAACAACCTAACGACACAAGGACGTGTTAGGAAAATGTGATGCCATCGCTTCAGACTCTCCTCAGCGTGATAAATCAAACCACCAGGCACTGTCTGCCTGTTATTGGGGAAGATTTAGAAAGAACCGGAGTGAAATGACTGGCCCTGGGCAGTGGGAGGCCCAAGCCCGCTGGCCCCCACGCTCACTGGTGGAGGGAATGTCATTTCAGAATCAGAAACGCCTGGCCCCCAGATGTGCCCGGCAGAGCTTGTCCTGTGCTGTGTCAGTTTGCTCTCACCTCCCAACATCCTGCATCAAAGCCGTGCTGGGCACAGCGATGCCCTGTCACGACTGGATATCGGTGTCCCCAAACCCACCGCTGCCTAGTGGTGTGACCACCGCAGCCGGTCCTGAGCAGGGGCCTGCTGCGGGCCTGAGCGGGGGCGTCTGCGGCTGCGTGCGGACGGTGGAGAGGCTCGCTCACTTCACAGAAACCTCCTTGCATCGCCATCGAGCGTCCCCCGACTCCCCCCCGCCCCCAGCCGTAACACTGTTTCCCCTGGGGAAAACCCCGCGCCTGCTATAGTTACACATTAGTTCTTCAGAAGTTTCTCAGAACTGTAGGAAACAGGTGAAAAAACAAGCTGCCTTGAACTTTACACTTGAGCCTGGCCTGCAAGCACGCGGCGTGCCCCGAAGGTCACTCTCCCTGGTGCTTTGGGGGCGCCTGCCGGGGGGCCCGGGCCGCATCCTGTTGGTGCTTTGAAGCTCCCAGTGAGTTGCTCACTCGTGGCCTTCTTGCGAAGGCCAGGCTTCCTGCCCCAGCAGCCCCCTCCAATCCTGGCTGCTCACGGCGTCTTTCTCACCTTAGCCACCCCACTGCCTTTGAAACCAGAGGTGGAGACTGGCCTGCCACAGGACTGTGAGGTCACCTGCCCCATCACCTGGACCCATCCTACAAGCCTGTACACCGGCTGTGCTTTCCATGCCACGTCCCTTTAAAGAAGCCCATGTTACTCTCTTTGAAAGTTCAGTGACATGGCCTTTCCTGTGACCTTTCCACACCCTGCACCTCCTGGGGATGATGGTGACGAGAAGATGGAGAGTCCTGGGTGCCTCCAGTAGCCGATAGCACTGGGGAAGCGCCCAACCACCAGGCCTGCCAGGGCCTGGCCCCAAACTCAACGCAGCTACCTGCAGGCTCCTGGAGGACCAGGCGACAAGGCCAATAAGACTGACCCCAAAGAGCTGGCCCCTCAGAGCCCACCACCTGTGGGCATCCCCTGGCAGCTGTACCTGTGCAGGTGTGGATGGGAGAAAGGTGACCACTGGGTGGCCTGCACTTCCATTCTCGGATGGGACCCTTCCCATTTCCCAGATGAGGAAACGGAGACAGAGGTCATGGCTGACACAGGGAAGGGGACCAGGCTGGCTTCAGAGCCCTCGCACCTCCCTCCTGACCTCCTACCGGCCCCTGGAGGGGGCATGCTATTACAGGGCAGGCAGCAACTCCCTGTACCACTAGCCTCTAGCGGTAGGTCTGAGGGTCCCTGGCGATGACAGGGCACCCCCTGAGCTGTCTGCTGGCAGTGCCACTGTCCTCTTTCCTTTGTCTCCTTTTATGAGAGAAAAGAGAGATACAAAAGGGGTGGGGGGGGCCTCCCTTGGGGGGATGAGGGTAGGATGAGGGAACAGTACAGGCCGGCACCCCAACAGGTGTTCATGCTGCAACCACCCCAGCCTCAGCCGGCCAGGGCCACAAGACACACGTATGTCCATGTGTATGGGGAGACCTTGGGACGTGAACCTGGGACCCGCCCAGGTGGTCTCGGCATTGCTGCAGCTCTATGGTTGCCTGGAGACAGATACTCTTGACGGGGTCTTGCAGTTGTGGGGTCCCCCCCTTGGCCTCCCAAACAGCCTGGACTACAGGCACGTGCACCTATGCCCAGCACATGCAGGTTGGCCACCCACGCAGACCCAGCCTCCAAGTGGTGGTAGCTGGGCCTCCACATCTTCATTTTTTCTTTTTCATATTTATGTCTTCCATGAGGGTGCACAGGTCAAAGAGACAGACAGACAACATCCCCAACAGGGTCTTAATGCTGCCATTCACACCAAGCCTCAGCCATCCCGGTCATGGGCAGGCATGTGCCTGGCACACCCACGGTCTCTAGACCCAAACCCAGAGCCTCCCATGAGAAGCTTCCTTCAGAGCACTGTGTTTTACCACTGTGCTTCTGGTCTCTAGCTAGGATTTCTACAAGCCTTTCCAAACTGCTCTCAAACAGATTTGTGGTGGCCTTCCTTAAACTCAGTCACTTTCTGGAACCCAACATGCAATTAAAGAAAACCAGAAAGAGGCTTCTCTGTGCTCGTGCCCTGAGTTGGCTGGAAGGAGGCAGGTCAGGGCAGCAGCCCGGGGCTGTGGGTGGGGGACGGGGCTCCGCAGCCAGGCACTGGGCCTTTCTCACCCCAGAGCCCCAGCCACACTGGCCGCGACGACGCAGGGGTTCCCCACAGCTGGCTAGAGCATGGTCTGGTTGCATCTGGAAGTAGCAATATCTTGGCCAGCTGGGTTTGTAAGAGAAATGACTGTTAGCATATTTAACAAGCAGGCTTTCGAAGACAGTTGGAGATTATATTAACTGAATATAGTTTTCATATGACTGTTCTGCTTTCTCAGAAATGGAGAGTTTGGGATGAGACTTTAAGGAGAAGCTTGAAGAAGGGCTGGGCGGAGGCCCAGTGGTGAGACCTGATGCGCTGTGAGGCTGGTTCACCTGGGAAGGTTTCAGGTTCCGGGTCCATAACTGACACCTCCAGTGCTCCGCCTACGTGAGCCCAGGATGCAGGGGGCTGAGGCCAGGGGCACTATGGTGCCGGGGCCCTGTGGGGGGCACCGCCTTTCTGTCTCCCTTTCCTCTCACTCATGGAAGAAATAAACTTTAAAAGCCAGCAGTGGGACCAGCAGATGGCATAATGGTTATGTCATTGGACTCTCACGTAGTTGATTGCAGTTCAAATCCTGAACCTGGTGGCTTGAGACTCATGGCGAGCATGTGTGCGTGCGTGCCCAGGATCCTGGGAGGAGTACAGAGGAGAAGGGGTGGTGGCATGGCCATTACCCGCCGGGGTGGGGGGTTTGATTTCTCATTTTCTGTCTCTCTGGTGAGTGCATGTACCCTATAGCAAAAATCTCCCTAAAAAAAAATAAAGCAGCAGCAACAGTACAGAAAATTTAAAAATATTGCACAAAGCCATTTCCTTCTTGAGACAGTTTGCTAACAAAGTATTCTAGAAAGATAAGAACATAATACCCGTGCATTCCATAGTAGCTTAACCAGTGGTTGCACTGGGGGGAACGAGTCAGGGACAGAGAGCCCCGAGACTAGAGGTCTAAGCTAGGCTCCTACCAACCATCAGAACTCCCTGGAAGTCTGCCCTCCTGAGCCAAGTCAAGCTAGGCCAAGCCAGGCTGCAACAGGGTTGCGGGGGCTGCAGGTGTGTGCTGTGCTCAGCTACCTGGGGGTACAGGATCAATCCACAGGAGAGCCATCCCCAGAAACTCCACCCAACAGCACAGAATAGACTGTACTAATCATCTTGAGTTGACCAAAGTTTTTTTTGAAGAATTATGTATTTATTTATTATTATTTTCATTTATTTTATTTTATTTTATTTTGGAGAGGTTTTTTTTACAATAGGGCACGTGCGTTCGCCAGAAAGACAGAGAGATAGAAAACGAGAAATCAACCCCCAGGGGGATGGCCATGCCACAATCTCATCTCCTCCATTCTCCTCTCGGGATCTTGGGCACGCACGCACATGTGCTCAATGTGAGTTTAAGCCACTGGGTCCGGGACTTGAACCGCGATCAACTACATGGAAGTCCAGCGACATAGCCATTACGCCAACCGTTGGTCTCTATTTATTTATTTATTTATTTATTTAAATTTGACCAGACAGAGAGAGAAAGAGAATGTGAGAAAGCAAGTTGCTGGGTCTGAGACTCTAACCACTTGGCCACGTGGGAGTTCAGTGCCTTACCTACCATGCCACCTGCTAGCCCTAGAGCTGGTCAAAGTATTAATACTCCAAAAAGTGCTTAGGAAGATGATGCCAGACATACCTGAAGATGTCGAACCCCGTAAAACACTACCTATGCTACAAAAGGAACCCTGAGCACAACTCGGAAGCCACCCCATGGCCCTGGCCGCTCGGCTAGCACAAACAACATAGCATCGTCCTACCCGGGACTCACTGCTGGTTGGCATGCCAGCCCAGGCCCCGTGTCCCACTGCTCAGAAATGTGAAATAGGAGCTGAAAGGAACTGTAAACCCAGCTGGCCACTGAAAACGAAGGAGTGAGATGTCCTGTGGTCACCCACCTTCTGGGCCAACAGCAGTATGCTGGCTCAGAGTCCAAACCCCACTTCCAGCAGAGTTTGGAAATCAGGCTTCGGTTCTTTCAGTTGCAAGAACAGATTTGCCTTCAGAATTACCTTTGTTAAGAATATTATCAAACCAATTTAAATCCCCTGAAAAGATTTGACTACCTGGAGATAATCAGGTAGGCAGGAGGCGGCAGATGAGAGAGAGGACGCAGACCCAAAAATGTTAATTACCTACCCTGGTGCACCAAGGAAATGAGGTATCGCCCCGACACATGACACACATGTGCACATGTGCACACACAATTCCATTTTAGACAGGAAAAACAATAAGCCTTTTACAAATAAAAGCACAAAATTAAGCCTGATGGGTTCCTGACTAATTGCCTCCCCCAGGGCGTTCAAATCCTCTCTGGGCATGCAGAGTTACCCCAAGTTAAAGTCAATTAAAACAGCTGCAAGATAAGCTAAAACTCTGAATTACAAGTCAGAAGGGGACCCAGAGAGGAGAGTAAGGACATATTGTTGAACATGTTATCAAATCCTTTTCATAAAGTAGATCTATTTACGCTCATTCTTCTGAGTTCTAAACACACGTATGGTCCCTGTTTGCTGATGGCAGCCTGACTTCTGAGTCTACAACTTCCAAAAAAGGGCACTGAGCTGAGTGATTGGGGCTTCTAAGGAACGTGGATGCTATGAACTAATTGAATCTGGCCTTATTATATATTAGGCACCTAACCCGCACCCCCCCCCCAAAAAAAAAAAAAAGAAAAAAAGAAACCTGCTTTTAAAACAATATTATACCAGAACCTGCTGACGAAAGCCAGGGCCCAGCCCGAGAGGAGGCTGAAACCAAATGCACTCGTCTTCCTTCTGGGTTTGCAGCGCCAGCCCCTGTAGTATTAGCAGTGAATCCCAGGACCCTAAACATTACTAAAAGGCACGTTTTGTATAGACCCAGCTTTTAAAAAGCACTTAAAATCATGCATGGCCCACTCCTGGGACAGCAAAGTCTCCGTGAAAATGTCAGACTCCGTGGTTATTGCTTTAGAGTATCAGAGAACAGACGCAAGCCACCTTTAGTTTAAGCCCTTTTCCAAGTAAACTAGTTTCAAATGCAATGGAACGATGGCTTTATTTTCGTTAAATAGATGTTTGCTTTCTTTCTTTCTTTCTTTTTTTTTTTAAGTTTACAGCATTCTTTCAATGATGAAAAATAGAACTCACTGAAGTTATCATTATGTTTATTCTGCCATTTTCCTGATTGAATAGCTTAAGCATTTACTAAGGTGTTTGACATTTCTCTTTTGGAAGGCGGAGTTTTGTCATTTCCCTTGGCCAAAACTTTCTTAAAGAACACCCCCCCACCACCACCACCCCAAGCTGTATATGTAAACAGGAAGAGAAAAGCCAAGGGCCATCTCTGTCCTCTGTGGTACCAGCCACAGTGATACTTCCTATGAGACCAGCCTGTGTAAGGATGATGGTAGGGAGCTGGGATTAATAGACTTCACCTCTTATCATAGCGTTCCCCCAAAAGCGGAGAAAATGTGGACACGAGTGCACCAAGATGACATGCATAAGAATGTTCTGGTCAGCACTGTTTGCAACATCCCCACACTGCTCACACTAGACACTACCTGAGTGTCATCAACATCTGTCCGGTTCATGAACCACAGGCATGTTCTGGAGTATCTATGGCAATGAGAATGAACAGACCAACACCACAGATGGCCTCCAGGTGGCAGTGGTGAGTGAGAGGAATCAGACACACCTGCTCACACTAGATGAATGCAGGGACGTCAAAAAGTTCATGGAGAAATGGAATTAAACCTTGAGTTGATTTTGGTACAAAAATATTTTTCTAAAATCCATGCATAGTTTTCCCATAATAGACATTTTCCATGATTTTTCCCATATTTACATGACAGTGAACAGCAGCCCAAGGCACTCAAATAAATAAAGACTATTGAACCTTAAGAAAGATATAGACTCTAATACATCAATTGCTGTGGATTTTTTAAAAAGAATGATTTATTTATCTATTTACCTTTATTTGTTATTTTCTTTATTTGACCAGAGAGAGAGAAAAGGAAAGTGAGAAACTAAGCCAAGTTGCCAGGTCTGGGACCGGACTTGTGACTGGCCGTGAGGGATTCCAGTGCCTTAACCACATGCCACCTGTCACCCTTGTTTTTTTTTTTTTGTTTTTTTTTTTCTAAGGGAGATTTTTGCTATAGGGCACATGTGTTTGCTGGAGAGCCAGAGAGAGCCAGAGAGACAGACAGTGAGAAATCACCCTCCCAGGAAGAATGACCATGCCACAATCCCTTCTCATCCATTCTCCTCTCAGGATCTTGGGCACGCGTGCACATGCACCCAGCGTGAGCTTCAGGTTGCCAGGTCTAGGACTAGGAGTGTATTCACTACCTGGGAGTCCATTATGCTATCTGTTGCTCCCAATTGTTGGGGATTTTAACACATTAATCTCCCCATTAGATAGATCATCTAAACAGTAAATTAAGAGACACTGGAGTTAAATGATACCATAAACCAAATAGACCTGTCATTTATAGAATATATAACCCAGCAAATACACAATACACATATTTTTCAGTGGCACATGGAATTTCCCAAGATTGATCACATAATGGGGCACAAAACAAGTTGCTACAAATTAAAAGGACTAGAAACCATGTCTACCATCTTTTCTGATCAAATGGAATTAAAGTTTAAATACCCAAAAAGTCAGTGATGCAAAAATTCTTTGAGATGAAAAAATTAGATAGACTAAGGAAAAGAGAGAAGACCTAGGTAAATAAAGTAAGAAATGAAAAAGGAGACATTACAATGACTATACAGAAATAAAGATCATTAGTGATTATATTAGCAACTATATGATAAAAAGCTGGAAAACTAAGAAAAAAATAGATCAAATTCTGGACACAGGTGGTATACTTAGATTGAATGAGGAAGATACAGACCCCCAATAGTCTGATAACAAGTACTGAGACTGAGTAAGTAGTCCAACAAAGAAGAGTCCAGGTCCAAATGGTGTTACTAATGAATTGTCCACACCCTTTAGAAAAGAATTGGCACCAGTTCTCCCTAAACTATTCAAAAGATACAAAGACAAGGAATCCTTCCAAATTCATTCTATGAAACCATCACCACCTTCATACCAAAACTAGACAAAGACATAGCAAAAAGAAAGGAAGGAGGAAAGACAGACTACAGCCTAATATCTTTGAGGAACATAGATGTAGGAAGTCTTTAACAAAATATTAACAAATTTAGTCCAACCATACATTAAAAATATTATACACCATAACCAAGTGAACTTGGGATATAGGATATTTTGACATATGCAAAATAATAAATGTAATACATTAGATTAACAGAGAGAAAGACAAAACTTATGTGATTATATTAATTTATGTAGAAAAAGCATTTGAAAAGTCCCTTTATAATTAAGATTCTCTACAAAACAGGTACATTTCTTAACACAATAAAGGCCATATGTGACAAACTCACCGTTAGCATCTTACTGAGTGGGGAAAAGTTGAAAGCTTTTCCTTTCAAAGGTGGAATAAGGGTGTTCACTTTCTCCACTCCTATCCGATATAGTACTGGAAGCCCTGGCCAATGCAATCAAACAAGAGCATGAAATAAAAGACATCTAAGTTGGAAAGGAAAAAGTTAAATTGTCCCTGTTTGTAGAAGATATGATTACATAAATAGAAAAAACTTAAATAATTTACAAAAAAAAAAAACCCTCAGAGGTGATAAATTTAGCAAAGTTGCAGGATACAAAATCAACATACAAGAATTTATAGCATTTTAATACTCCAATAATCAGGAAACTGAGGCAGAAATGAATACATTAATTCTGCACCTCAGCTTCTTTCTCTGTCCAATGAGACCCCAGCTCTTTACCCCCTAAGAGAGTACAAGTGCCCGGCACCACAAGTCCAACACATGGGTTGTTTTGAATAAAATAACAAAGAGAAAAACATTCATTCTGCTCAAAGGTCATTCTTGAGTTCCCTGTTCCAAGAAGGAAACAGAGTCTCAGTGCTTGGGGCTTCTGTGAGGCTATATGGGATCCAAAAGGACTGGGATCTGGATTATTTGCTCAGACTGAGCAATATCCCCAGACTGGGGACCCGAGGCCAGCTCCCCTGGGTGGCCCATTCAACTCCAAACACCATCTTACTTGGGCTGGTCTTCCTGGCCTCACCAGCTACCCATAGCAGGAGCCTAAGCTCACAAACTGGCCCACTGGTGCTCCCAGGATACTCCTTGGGCTCCCTGTCCCCTTATCTTTTCCTGGAACACTCCACGTAAACCTTTCTACCAGAGTCCAGCCTTTCCTTCCACCACAGCTCAGACTGCACCTCCATCACATTCTTCTCTGGTTTTGGGGCATCTGAGAAGACTGGTCACATCCTCTTTTTAGTCATTTTCTCTTCTACGTTTGTTACAGGCAGGTGACACATTTTAACTTCCTCGTTCCCCATAATACAACGTGTAGAGAAAATGAACAAATAAATTGCCTGGTCCCTGGAATTCACAATTAGCCAGTTTGTTTCCTCTATTTTGGTCATAAGAAAGGGCAACAGAATAGTATCTGATATTTAGTTTAAAACTCCCACTGCCAACAGAAAAAGGAGCTATGTCAGGGTCACTGGCTGATTGTCCCTCAGGTGCACTTATTGTAGGTCAGGAAGAAAGGGGGCACTCGATTTCCAGCTGTGGCACAAGTCCTGGCCACAGGTGGCCAATGCTCATGGAGGCAGGAGGGGGAAACAGGGATAAGTGCTGCCCAAGACCAAGCCTAGCAGGGAGTTGGGACATGCAGCCAAAGAACTTTGGTGGGAAGTGGTGTGGGAATGGGTTCTAAGAAAGGTACACCAATGACTACCGTGAACTGTGTTAAAGTGTCACCACCACCCCCCACCCCATCCATAGATTGGAGTCCTAAGTGCCAGGATCTCAGAATGTGACTGTATGTGGAGAGGGTATTTAAAGGGGTGATTAATATAACAGAAGGTCTTTAGGGTGGGCCATATCCAAGTATGACTGGTGTCCTTACCAGAAAAGGCCATTTGGACACAGAGACACCTGGGATGCTCCCACAGTACCCAAGAGGACACAGGAAATAGGTGGCCACCTGCAGGCCACCTAGAGGAGAGCCACCTCAGGAGAAACCAAACCCATCAGCACCTTGACCCTGGAGTTTTAGGCACTAGAACTGTGAGAAAATGTATTTCTGTTGCTCACATTGTCCCATCTATGGCATTTTGTTAGGGCAGCAAAGACACT